ACACAGGGTCAGAAAGGTAGAGAAAGGAGAGGAGGGAAGGAGAGTGGAAGTGAGAGGACCAACTTGAGCCTATCCCCCCTCACTGCATTCGCTTTTAAAATAAAACCCATTTATATATAAATGTTGGCCTGATGCCCAGTCTCTGTAGAAAAGCTTTTCTGTATTAAACGCTACAATGAATTAAATTAACCATAATGATTTCTTTGTGAATGGAAACCTCTCTCTCTCCTCTCTCTCTCTCTCTCTCTCTCTCTCTCTCTCTCTCTCTCTCTCTCTCTCTCTCCTTTCTTTTCCCCCTTCCCCCTTCTTTGTGACATGGTTTTGATCAGGTTTTCCTTCCCTCCTCAATTCTAATGCTCCCCAGCTCCCCACCTCATGCCCCCCCCCCAACAACCCTACCAGCAGGACTGGCCTCCCAGCAAGTGACCAGTTCTGTGAGCCTTCCCCAAGGTTAAACAGATGCCTTGTATTGTCCAATGCAGAGCAGAAGCCACTTAGCCGAGGGGGCCTCATGTGTGTTATGAGGCCAAGGGCATATTCTGAGAAAGCGTGTGCCCACTGCAGGGCAGGGACTCTCTGAGCCTCACTCCTCTTGGGCTGTAAGATAGAGGAAACTGGGAAGATGCTCTTCCTGTGGGCAGATGTGTATCTGACTGCACACAAGAGACAAAGGTACTTTAGGAATCCTCGCGGATGGGGCTTGCTTGAGGACATATCTGCCCACAGGGGCATCTTCAAGCATGGCTATCAAGACTTTCATCCATGATCCTTTGGTTCCCTTTTCCACCTGCATGTGTGCGCACACTTGCATGTTGATCACTGGGGACTTCCTGGGCCCATGCCTGGGAACATATAGACAGGAGCGAGACATGAGGCCTGCCTTCCAGGCACCCCATGGGAGGAGATGCTAAGTAAACAGTGATCAGAAGTGAGACGAAGACTTCAGCTACAGGAGCCTAACGGTGGTAACTTTGAACCTAGGACCAGACCTAGGGTCCCAAATAACACCAATCTTTCCCATGGGCATAGACCTTGATATTTTCAAGGCCCTTTTATGGGCATGCTGCCATTTCTCCCACACATCAAGCCTATAAAGCACATGTTATTATATACCCAGTTTACAGAAGGGAGGACAGTTTCAGACCTCTGGTACCAGTTAATAGGCCAGCCCTACCCAACCGCTTCAAATTCCATCTCTGCCAGGTAAGCCACAAGCAACTGTTGATTCCTGCCCTCCAACTGCAGCTCACAAGCTTCCCCTGCTTTTCCACTACCACGCCCAAGGACGTCTTTCCCAGACCTCTGCATCCCATCCCTGCAAGGACAGATGCCCAAAGCCTAGTCCTTTTTCTCAAAAACACCAAGTCACTGGGTGTCACAGGATCTCTTCTCATTGTTTCCCTGCCTCCTTCCCCACCTCCAAAGACCTGGTATCATTTCTTACACACTGTGATGCATCTCTGTTTGTGATTCTTTTGCCCTCCCCCTCCCTGCCTCCCCCCCACCAGTCTTCAGGATGACACTTAAGAGAGTCATTTGGATGACCTGCTGCTCCCCCAGATGGCGCTGTGGGAAAGTGGGGCCCGGCCTCGAGCATCCCGTCCCTCCTGCACGTCCCTCTGTGCAGAAGCAGCCATGCGGTACTCTACTCAGGGAAGGATGGGAGGCGTCCACTGGAGAATACGGCGTCAGCTCCAGTATTTGTGCTCTTTATCCCACCAAGTGCTGCTGTGATAGACGAACGTTTTATGCTGGCTCTAGGATTCATCAACTCGGAGAGGCTGAGATCAAAGCCAGAGACTGCCCTCGTCAAGTTCAAGTGTGAAAGAGGAAGAGAGAATGTGCTCTCGTTTATTTAGGTAGAGATGTGAGACGGATGGCCAGCAGGACTAAGAAACCTTTGTGACCAGGGCCCAAAAGCCTGTGGAAAATTAGGCCCTCGCGGCCACAGAACTCAGCAGGCAAGCCCCAAAGAACCAGCCCAACAAAGGCAGATTTCTCCCGAGGGCCTGGCAGCCCCTAGAAGCTTTGTGGAGGGCGAGACACAGCAGCCTGGGAAAGAGAAAGCATCTTGAGTCACATAAGATGTGAAGGGCAGGAACGTGGGATGAAGGCCCGCCCCTACCCTTGCCCTTTCCCTCGATTACTCTTCAGCTGGTGGGCACTGGCTTGGTGCTGTGGTTGGGAGCCTTGTACCTGTCTTTTTGAGTGCACAGCCACCCAACTCTTGGGGGGGGGCAAGACGTAAGGCTGTATCCCTAGCCTTTATTCCCGGGTATGCTCCTTCATGGATGGTGGTGGTGGTGGTGGGGTCACACAGGAAAGAGACCATGCAGTGAGGCTGGCCCAGAGGAATCTGGCAGGGTGCCAGCAGGCCTGCTCTGGCACAGAGATGTGAACGCATGGCCGTTGCAACTGGTCTAATTGCTGTCTCATCAGCTCTCTCAGGGGCTTAGTCCAAAGCCAAGGAAGGGAGGTTTCTGCTGGAAGACATGAGGGAGCCAGGGGAGAGGTGGAGGACCCGGCACTTTGAAAGGCATAGACAAACCTCAGCATGCCCAGGGCAGAGACCCAAGTTTGGGGGGCAGGAGGAGGGGCAGGGAGAAAAATAGCCAGGAGGGAAGAGACTAACATTTATTTCCATTAGCCAAGCTCAGCTTCCCCTGTGACCTAGTGTCTCCCCCTAGCTGGCATTCTGTTCTCCTTTCCCCAGGGTCGTCTTCACTGGGCTTCTAGGCTTTTCTATTTGCACTTGGTTTCCTAGACCACTACTGTCAGACTCCCTGACTACATCAGCGCTCCCCCCCTCCTTGATGCAAAGACCTAATTATAGCAAACCACATTTGGTAGGTCTGAGTGGCTCCTGCTTCACAACACTCTAGTCCCTAATTCTTACCTGTCCACTTATGTGTGGGTTTCCTGGTTCCCGGACTTTGCATACTCTTTCTCAGTCTCTTCCATTCCCAGGGCCTGCTTCCGTAAGCTCCTTCAATGCTGGGGTCCTCCAAGTGCTGTTCTCAAAATCTGCCTCCCTGTAGATGTTCCCCTGGGCCCTCTCAACCATGCCTGTGGCTTTCTCCCGCGTTCTCAGCAAGTGAATCTTGTATCACCTCAGCCTGGACTATTCACTCTTTCCAAACGTCAGCCTACATAGACTGACACTTCAGGATGCGTTCAGTGGCCATCTCTGAAGATACATCCAATTTGCCTCTTCTCAAACAAGACCCACAGTACCATTTGACCATACTAGTTCCATGTCTTTAGGAGTAGGATCTCCCAACAGCAATCCAGTCAGGCTTCTAGATAGAAACCTTAGTGCCTCCCTTCCTCTCATTTCTCACATGTAATTAATTACCATGTCCTGCCAATTCTACCTCCTTAATATCTCTGGAATCCATCCCAAGCATTCCATCCCTACAAATGCTACCTTTATCGTCTCTCTGCCACCAGAGTGCGTCCTCCTCTGAGAAGCCTCCACACCACAGGCAGTTAAGACCATTTCTCTGTGTCATACTCCACTGAAAACTCACCAGCAACTCTCTCTCCACTGCCTCCAAAGTCAAGTCCCAGTCCCTAAACCTGGCAGGTGGGGCCCTTCAGTTCCGACCCCCATTCACCTGACTCATCCCCCAACCCCAGCAAGACTTCTGGGCTGGTGTCACACTCCACACTCAGCCTCCACCTCCACTGGCAAACTTCTACTCACATAGGTATCTCGGGTCTGAGGATGCTAAAAAGTCTGGGGTTAAAATGTCGGGTTGGGGACAGATGTATCTCAGTGGTTGAAGAAAAAAAATAAAACAACTTCCTTTGCCTAGATTATGTAAGGCTCTAGGAGTGGGTTCTATTCCCAGTGCTGCAAAAAGGAAAACAAATTAAATGTAAATTTTCTCTGAGCCTCACGTTGGGCAGTGACACACACTTATTACCCCAGAACTTTGGCAGCTGAAACAGGAGGATCATGAATTTGAGACTAGTCTGAGGTCCACAGTCAGAAATGATTTCAAAACCAACAAAAGAGTGTGTTGGGCTGATGAGATGGCTCAGTGGGTAAAGGCATTTACTGCCAAGCCTGACAACGTGAATCTGATCACTGAGAAGGAAAGAACCAACTCCTGCAAGTTGTCCTGTGACCTCTACATGCATACTACGGCACACATGTGCATGCATGCCTACAAACACACAATAAATAAGTAAATGTAAAGAAAGAAAGTGTGTTCTTAGGAGACTGATTAACTAGCTAGGATAATTCTGTGTCTGTTTCCCTGTCTGTGAAACAGGGCTAGAAACAGTCATTTTATAATGGCAGGTTTCTCTCATAAGAGACTAAATTAGATAAAGCTACGAAGCATTAGAATGGCAAGTGATGGATACTAACTGCTCTTGCAGAAGATCTGAGTTCCTTTCCCATCACCTGTGTTAGGTGACTCACAACTGCCTGTAACTCCAGCTCCAAGAGGTCTGATATCTCCACCCGCAGTCACTGCACTCATGTGCACATGCCCATACACAGACACACATGCTTCAATATAACTAAAAAAAGTAAATTTAAGGAATGCTGCATATGTATCAGCTGTTAATTCTTGCTTGAAGCACCATCTGTACGAAGCTACCTCTACCTCCAAGATTAAGATCAGGGGCCCTGTTTGGAGGATCCAGAGTCCTGACTGACTTCACAACTGACACCCTCTGCCCATTGCTTGACTCTCCTCCCTTTCTACTTGATAGAAAGATATCTGCTAGGCTAGTGTGCAGCTCAGCGGTAGAATATATGCTTAGCATGCGCAAGGCCCTGAGTTCCAATTTCAGCTCCCCCACCCTGAGGAGTGTGGGGGGGAGGGGTATTTGTTTTCCTATTTTTGCATCTGACACAAAAGTATCTTTGTTCATGATTTTCATATGAACCTCAGAAGAATATTAATATTGCTGTCATTTGAGGGGTGAAGGAATTTTTTTAAAAAAAATCACACAATTAGAAATCTGGAAAAATGCTTAATTTAACTAAATCCAAATCTGGGATGTCCAGTAGCTCAGTGGTACCATTTTATTTTTCTAATTACAGATGGTTGTGAGCCACCATGTGGTTGCTTGGAATTGAACTCAGGACCTTTGGAAGAACAGGCAGTGCTCTTAACCACCGAGCCATCTCTCCCGGATGTACATGGCCTTGAGTTCCATCATCAGCACCTGATAGGATAGAAAACAAAATAAACAGATAACAAAAATAACTAAGTCTACCAGCTTCCAACCAGGTGATTTTTCTACTTCACCTAACTGCCTAGGTAGGGAGGAGGTCTGGACATTTTGCCCTAAAAGGAAGAATTAAAGGAGCTATGGGATGGCTGTCTGGAGGAGACACAACTCAGGGGCAAGGACAATCCCCTCCCACTCATCTGTTTGAAGCCTACCAACCCTGGTATGTATGTTTCAGTAGTGGTGCCAACGCATGTGGTGGACACATGTGCAATGAGGTCATGCCAGAATGCTGGGGATGGAAGCCTTCATCTCGGAATGCCCACTCACCTCCGCAAAGTCCTCCAGAGTTGACAAGATGCGTCTCCGTCTTATTTTGTTATTTGACCAGCTTCACTGCTGGGACTGAGTAAGCATGGCTCAAATGGGACAGAGACTTGTCCCTTCAGAAGTGTCAGAGCCTTACGTCCAACACTTATCCAGCACATAAGGTCTTTAATAAGACCCACTTCCTTCCAGCTATGAGTCTGATGAGAATGAAATGAGGATTGGGGAAGTTATTTGCCAAAGAAAGAGGGATGGAAATGAGGTGGTTGATTATGCTGTCTGCAGATAGAAACAGCCCACTCTCACATGCTCGCTCCAAGCCTCACATAGATGTTATAGGCGGAATGCCCATGCTTCATTTAGTAGAGTACCTAACACAGAACCAACACTTGAAGTCTCATTTCTGCTGCTTACCAACTCTAGGGCCTTGAAAACGTCACCTACCCGCCATGCCTCTATGACCCCTTCTATAAGACTGAGACGATCTGGTCTGTCTTGTAGAATTGATGAGGACCTTAATTGAGAAGTGCCGGTGTCAAATGCCTGACACGTGAGCAGGGACTCATAAATGACAGTAGTCATTCTCTCAGATTTGACCTTGGGGCTCAGTGATAAAGACTCTGGAGCCATCTGGGTTCCAAGGCAGTTTATTCTTAATATTTACATCCTCCTCCCCCGCTTTCTTTACCCTGTATGGAGGCTGGAAGAGGGCATCGAACGTCCTCCATCTATTCACCTCTGCCTATTCTTTTGAGATGCAAACCCAGTTTCTTTACCTACCAGTTTGTGATCTTTGACAAGTGCCTTGACTTCTCCGAGCATCTGTTTCTTCAGCATGAGGCTGATTAAAAGATGAAATGAGTGAATATTTAACACGCTCCGTGAATATTTAACAGGCTCTAGGCACAGAGTACACTTTCCGAGTGTTGTTACTATCCACCAAAGGCCCGAGAGGCAGGAGCCAGTGCCCTTCTTCTCCTAAGGTCTCACATTCCTTTCATGAACAATGGACTGGGGCCAGTTGGAATAGATGAGTTTCCTTTCGTTCACCCTCCAGACCCTTCCAGAGGGACTCTGCCTACAGCAGTCAGTATGAGGAAGCATGACTTTAGTGGGAATTCCCTAGAGGCTCCTCCAGATTAGGCTAGAACAGTTCAGGACTGTCCAAAAGGGGTTTTGTTGGTCTTGGCCAGCTCAGAAACTATTGAAAACAGCCCCTCTTTCTTCCTTGGGGAATCAGAGGTAGGAGGTAGAAGGTGGGCCAGAGTCCACCTTCACCACTGCCCTGTGGCACCATGAAGAGGCCGACTTCCCGACGCCCCCTAGCAATGAGGCCAGGGTTGAGGGCCCGTAGCTGGGATCCAGGCCGCTGGGGGCAGGTGATGCCTGACCTATTCTGGTGTCCTTACAACAGGCTCCCGGAGCCATGGTGCATTTGTCCAGGTGCCTGCCCTAGGCTCCCTCAGCTCCACCCACCACAGCCACCGCCACCGCCACCGCCACCGCGTCCAGTGAGGCCCTCAAGGACCCGGAAGGAAACAAGAGCTCAAGTCCTGGCCCGCTGGGGTCAGCATGTGGCTGCTGGCGTGGGCTTTCACACACCAGCAGCGACAGGCGCATGTAAATGACCCCTGGGCGCTCGGCCCGCCCCGCCCCCAGAGCCGCGTGGAGGGAAATCAGGAGAGGCCCAGGAATTGTTTGTAATTAGTGTGTTTTTAAAGGCTTTTCCGCGAGCCTTTAGCCGAGTCCTGAGGAGGGCAGCTTGCCAGGGAGCATTGAAATGGAAATCCTGGGTTCTAGCCGGGACCCTCTTAGAAGGAGATTCTTCCCAAAGGCCAGAGGCCTGTCCCGGCCCCATCCCCAGTCCCCTAGCACCTACGCAGTCCTGGCCAACTCGGGGCGAGGTGGAGCAGCTTTGTGGAAGCGCATGCCTGCCCGCCGGCCTCAGCCTTGCCTCAAAACCCGCCGGTCAGCCGAGCAGGAAAGGCTGCTGCGGGGGCCCGCAGCTCTCACTACTCCCACCCCACCCGCAGCACCCTGTCTCCTTTCCCCCTGCTTTTCCCCAAACCAGAGGCTTCGGCCACAACCAGAGTTACCTCCTCTGGTTACCCAGAGTACATGTGTACATGCAGCATTTCCAGCACAGAGTGAGTGGCAGTTGAAAGCTTGCAAAGCCTTTGGAACATCCACCAGGCCAGTGGGGCCTTGCAGAAACTCCAGTGGCTACCGTCCATCATTGTCAGGTCTCGAAGGCGTTGAGGAGGGGGTTAGAGAATAACAGAGCTGGGCGTACACCCGAGCCCAGGTCTGTCTAAATCCTCAAGTCTGTAGGATGCCTCGCAGCCTCTTCTCACCCAGGCTGCTGCTCCCACACGGTGCTGACACGCAGGCAGGACTGTTCTGGTGCAATCCCCGGGCCTTGTGGTCTGGGATCATTTCCTGTGGCCTGAAGTACTTATTTGCAAGTTGTAAGGACTGCCCGATTTTTGGAAGCTTCGCTGAATGCTTCCAGCTGGGAATTTAACCTTCTCAGACCCAGCTGTGGATCTTGAGAGCTCTCTTTAGTTCCCACCCATTTTTCTAGAACCTCTAGAGGTAAATTAATTGTATAAGGTGGGGGGTGGCAGTGGAAGAGTATTGCACTAAGATCCCAACGGGCTGCCTGGGTCTGATTCTGCCACTCACTTTCCCCTGACCTCTCTGTACCTCTCTGACCTCAAATGAAGGCTAGGAAAGTGCTTGCCTGCCCTGGTGTGCAGTCTGGGCCTCTTGTTTTCCCCTGCAGCGTGAACGGAGCTGACCTCTTCTTCTGCAGTGACCCCACAGCTCAAGGTCTTATAAGAACAATGGAATTGCTCCTTAGGAGAGCTGGCTAGGTAGATGTTGGGGGCAGAGGAAACCATTCTCAACCCCTTTTCCCACCTCCCCATCACTATATAGAAGGCAATGGAGGCACAGGATAGTTGGATGTCTTGCTTAGGATAATCGAGGGAAGCCTATGGGAATCGAGATTAAAAATCAGTTCAGCAGTGGTGGTACAATGGCTGACTGTATGGGGAGATTCCACCCCCACCTATAATTTCTAAGCCACGCCCAGTACAATTTTAGTAATAATTCAGATTTAAAATCCTGTGTAAATTACAAATGAAGTTATCTTCAAAAACCCTGCTGTGTATATCCTGTATTATTCATCTTCTAAAAGCACCACGTTCTTTATGAACCTCCAGAGATGTCACTGGACATTACACTACTTTCTGCCCTTAAATCCCCGCTAGACAAAATGGTGGCCATTTGCCAGGCGAGGGCTCTCTGTGCTCCTCAACAGCTTCTTCACTGTGTCTGTGAACCTAAAGCAACCTCAGGAACCTAAGGGAACTAAAAATAATGCTGGGTCCAAGGCTGCTGCTGGAATCTCTTGCCGCACCCCTCATTAACGAGGGGAGGTTGCTCAGACACAGCCCACCCTCATCTCTGCCCTTCCTTTGGTTGTAAGAAGACAGAAGTACACAGAGTGGGGGACCAGAAGTTATGGCAGAGTAATGGAAGTTTCATCCATATTTCAGAGGTGGTTCTGCATGCCTTTCCCTGGTGTTTCTCCTTCAGGAAGAAAGCCTTTCTGCATCTGCTATCACATGCAAAACATCAAGGAACTGGAGCATATATATTAGAGCCGCCAAAGGTCCTTAGAGATCTCTAGTTCAACACACTTGGGTTAGGCATGGAGAAACTGAGGCCCAGAGGGGGGCTGACACTTAGAAATACGGCAAGCAAAGCTCAGACCAGAAACCTCTTCTACCCCCTCCCCCCGTCAGTATGTTTCTCCACCCTCCCTTCTACCCTGCTGCCTCTTGAGTATAAGTGTAGGCTCGCCCATGTGTGTGCTAATGCAGGTTGACAGCTGCTGGGAGGGTCACACATGGAGCCACACACCGGCCCATTCAGTCTGACATATACCCCAGCTGGCTTTCCCCCAACAAGTACCTCTGCCATGCACGCTCCCTGGTACCTCCCCACCCCTTTCCCTCTGCTCCTGTGCCTTCACTGTCCTTGCCCAAGTGCACCCAGACTGATGCACCAGGCCACCCCTGATGTCTGTACCCATGTCTCTCTCTGTTGCCATGGCTGCCCACAGCTGTCCGCAGAAGCACTTAGAGGTGCTGGGGGCTGGGAAGGTGTGAAGAGCTGGGATAGGGATGGAGGTGGATCTGAATATAAAATGAATCCAGAAGGCTCTGGCTAAGAGGCCTGGGGCCCAGCCGCACCTCAGATAAAGCAAACAAGGGATTATTTCCCAGGGTTTGGGGGCTTAAATAGGATGTGTTCTTATAGAGGAGGGTAGGAGCTGAAGCACAGCCAAGCTGCCACCCCAAATGTGTCAGTTCAGGTGGTCACAGTGGACTTAGGCAGAGGACAGGGAATGGATGACAGTTTGGGGCAGTTAACTGCTTTGGAGCCGAACAGGGTAGAGTCCTAGTCCAGGGAAGATCTTCTGGGCTGGGGCTGGAAGATGGATCACTGGGTAAAAGAACTAGCCTTGCAAGCCTGGGACCTATGTTCCATTCCCAGGACCTACATTAAAAAAAAAAAAGTAAGCTGGATGTGGCGCACACGTGTATCTGTATGTACACGTATTCTAGCACTCCTACTGCAAGATGGGGGGCTAATACATGCAGCTGCTGCAGCAGGAGCATCAGGAGAGACCCCGTCTCCAAAAGGCGGGAGGTGAGAATCAGCTCCCGGGAGTTGTTCTCTGACTACCACATGCGTGCCACCCACATCCTCACACACAATAAGTAACAATTTAATAAAACAAATAAACATCTTGGGTTGGAGATGAAGCTGAGCATTTCTGGGCACCCTGTGAGTACCAATACAGGATTACTAGATGGATGTGGGAATGAATGAATGCATGAATTGATTGAGCTCTGATCCTCTTTATCCCTTGATACAGCCTGGACCTAACTAAGTCCATGTCAAAACCAAGGCTGGCTTGATGTCACTGGCTGTGTGGGGAGGGCTTATAAAAGACAGTAATGTCAGGAAAAAGAGTGGAACCCTAGAGTGCTGGTGGGGGCACTGGTCATCCCATCACAGTGGGACAAAGCAAGTAGGGCCCCTTCATGCCACGAAATCTAACATCTCCCCCTCTCACTTAGATGAGAAACTGAGTTTCAAATCAGACAGGAGAATGAATTATCTGATTCAGGAAGTCATTACTAGCAGGGGTTTGCCAGGAGCTTTCTTTGTTCCTGTGGCTTGGGCAGTCTTCTGGTAGGCAGCCTATATGTCATCTCCCTGCTGCCATTTTGGTCTTCCTTGCAGTCCCTGGAGTGTGAAAAGGCTTGAGATACTGGGCTCAACGGCTTCTGAGTATAGGAGAGCCATGGGAACTGGACAGGGTGAGAAAGCTGTAAAGGAAGGGGAGGAACGCACTGTTCCAGGGGAACAGAGTAGGGGCTACCTGGTCATAGCGTCACCGTCCTCTTCTGTCTGATCTGATGCTACAAAGGCTAAAGCAGTTGCTCCTCACCCTCAAAATGTCTACAAAGAAAGGGTTGCGTTCCCAAGCTCTACACCGAAAACATGCACATGCAGGCACCTGTAGCACAATCCCTCGGGGTAACCGTCCCATCGAGTGACAGGGTCTTCCTGTCAGCAGGATTTGGTGTTGCAGCTCAAAGAAAAAGATGGGAATTTTCTTTGTTAACATACAATGCTGTGTGCATACGTTGAACTGGCTAGACACTGTGGGAAGAGTTCAGGACTTGAGGAAAAAGCAGGAGGGGGAATAAACAGCCACAAACCTCAGGTTGGTCCCAGGAGCTGCTTTCCAAAGGACATTCTGCTCCCCCACCTCCCACATTCCTGTGAGTTGGGGTCTAGAAAAGAGGCAGCCAAGATGGCTTGCTGTTTGGACTGGACTGCTACCCCGGGGGCCCGCCTTCTGGTCGAATCCAACGTTTTCAGCTAGGAGAGCAGTGGTTGGATAGCTTTCAGAGCCAGAGCTGGGGATGTGGTCGCATGAGCCGAGTAAGGCTCCAGAGTAAAACTAGTGCTTTGTGTTTTTCTATTTTTTTCCCTTCCTTAATTTTCTTTCCATTTTTTCTCCTTTAAAAACAAAAACTGAACAAACAAACAAAAACCAGAGTCTCACTATGTACTCCAGGCTGGCCTCAAACTCATGATCCCCCAGCTTTAGCCCCTCCCCCTAAGCTGGGATTAAAAGTGGACACCACTCCGCCTGACTTGAAGCTACTGTTTTCTATACTGTATTGATACTGACCTCAATCTTAGTTTTAATCCCTATACAGAAAGGCCCCTGAGATGGTAAGCCATGACTTAATGACCGGAGGAAGATGGGGGAATTGTTAAAAATTGAATATATTGTGTGGTTTGGGGACATTTTTGTGTTTTTAAAAATTATTATT